ATAGGTTAAAAATAAATATTTTTGTCAAAAAATACCTTTTAATAATGAATTTACATAATTCTTCCAAATATATCAGATGATATTATTTTTTATAGAAATATGTTGATCAGTGTATCCAAAAAATATATTAATTTTTATAAAAATAAAAATATCGAATATTTTAAAAAATTATATATTGAAAAATTATTTTTTATTTTAATATACTAATATTAAAATAATATTTTAATTCTTGAGAATTGCATTAGTTGATACATCCCCTTATCAGGCCTTATCCTACCCTCCTAGGCCTGATTAAGTTATACATCATTTTGATGTATAAAGGGATTATGCTGTATAAGTTATATTATACGATGGTCACACCAAACCAAAGTTATTAAAACCGGACCGGTTATTGACCCGGTCAAGGTACTGGGTCACTGATTCAACCACATGACCTGGTAATTATATGCAATTTTATAATTTATATTAAAAAATTATAAACATACTCAAATATCTAAAAAAAATGATAAAAATTTCAAATATTATAAAAAATAATAAATCACATATTATTATCCAATAAAAAAATCAAACAAAAATATAATGATCGTAATACAGGGCTTTTGGTTCAGAAAGTGACATCTCTAACTATAAATCAAATCAAAATTTTCTGCATAATACATAATTGAGATAATATTAGGTGTTGTAGGTACATAACTTTTGTAAGTCAATAAGTAAAAAAAATATTCAAATATGTCAATTATGATTTTTTTTTTAAAAAAATTAGAATTTTTTTTTTGGGACCGGGCCGGGTCACCGGTTTTCATGAAAACCGGCTGGGTCGGACCGGGTTGCACCGGTTCTTATGCATGGCCGATCCGTTGCTTCAACCGGACTGGTTATATGACCGATTTACCGGTTCCCGGATCGACCCAGCCGGGTCGGTCCGATTTTCTTAACATTGCATCAAACAACTAAAAACGTCATAATGTATAATATAAGCTTATACTATCAGGCCTTATACATCACACCAAACAAGTCCTTATAGTTTAAATTTTTTTTTAACGAGGAGAATTTTTGGGTAGAGTTTTGTCCTGTTCCAGTAAAGGATCCCTTGTAAGAATCAAAATTAATATTAATTCAAGCCTTACTATTACATGATAAGAATGGTATTGGGGGAGATCAAAACCCTTTTACAAACGATACTTCCATCAATAGGTCAAGTGACAAACTACAATAAGTGAGTCGATATTACCTCTTAACCTAAAATCTTAAGGCTGTAAGTCTATGAGCCTTTTGTATTTATATAGTCTCACTTGATCTATGTTTAGTTAATGTGAACTTACTACACCACTACTCACTCACACTTGATTATTTCCAACATTAATTACATGTTAATGACTACATTTAATTTCAAACACCATCAAACTAGTGAAAAAATGACTTTTGGAAGAAAACCAAGGCCCGTAGCGACTGCTCGGAAGGAACATTTGTTATTGAATAATCGCTTCGTCTCTGAAGATAACTTACAGCTATTTATTCTAATGTAGATTCGACTGAAAAAAAAAAAAAAGGGCCTACTATTGTAAAGAACCTTGGGATACACCACCCCAAAAGCTAGTTCAAGGGGTGAGAGTGCCCAAGGCCTTATAAAGGCCATATTAGTTGTCCATCCAATCAATGTGGGACTATATATCTCAACACGCCCCCTCACGCAAGAGCCCTTCAGGCTAGAAGCGTGGAAATTGCACAGGCCCATTTTTGGTTTACCTTTTTGTGCTTTTTTATTTTATTTTTAATTCCACTTTAAAGTGGGGGACGGTGAGGCTCTGATACCATGTAAAGAACCTTGAGGTCACCACCCCAAAAGCTAGCTCAAGGGGTGAGAGTGCCCAAGGCCTTATAAAGACCATATTAGTTGTCCATCCAATCAATGTGGGACTATATATCTCAACAGCTATCATGGATGTACACAAGATAATTTTTCTTTGAAGTTATCAAAATAATTATCGATCTCTCTTAACTTACTAAACAATGATCCAAAAAGTTTGCAGTCATTTTGTAATAGTTATTGAGAATATAACTTATTTGTTTTTTAACTGAGTTTACAAGTAGATGGTCTCAGATTAAGTGATGAGGTACTCAAGGATTGATCCAGCAATTAAAGAAGGGTGTTACTTGCCTAACCTACTAGAGTAAATTCTCGTAAATGAACATAAGCTAATATGTGGATACTTCCTTGAAGTTGTTTGAGGAAGGTTTTATTCTCAATTAAGGCAAAAGTTAATTTAGAAAGCTAAAATCTCTGCCAAAATAACGAGATATACTTTCTTTTTTTGGTAAACCGTGGTATACTTTAATTAGGGAAAATTATTTATCCTTTTAAATGACACAATTTATATCCTTTCACTTTCACAAAGAGATGTGACCCACACTTTTATTTTATTTTTTGTCAATTCTCTCTTCTCCTTTATCTATCTCTTTCTCTCTCTTAAAATGATATAATTTTACATCCTTTAAAATGATACACACTTTTCCCAGTTAATTATTAAATGGGTAAGTGATTTCTATTATTTTATCTTATCCAAAAACTGCACTTGTATTAAAATAAGATTCTACCCATCTTTTTTTACTTGTGTGTCATTGCTTAAAAAATGAAAGACTAATGGTGAAGTGTTTTTTTTTTAGAAATTGTCTCAATCAAAGTCATGTTTTCATTCAAATTACTATTACTTGGAGGATTAGTCAACATATATGCATGTGCATATATGGTGAAGAAACTATTATTTTTGAGAAACAAAACAAAGAGGAATTAAGTCACCGCAAAAACTTGTACTAGGGGTATGTATCTGGACGAATTTTACACTGTATTAAAAAGAAAACATCAAAGAACGTTGAAGTTTCAAATGGGTTAGTAATCTAACATGAACAACGTCTAAGTCATTACACTGTTATGTAGAGATAAAAAAAAGAGTAAACACCATTTCTAGTCCCTGTAAATATCTACGAAGTCCTTTTTAGTTCCTGACAATAAAAAAGGACCAAATTGGTCCCTGAAATTACAAAAAAAAGGCCATGTTAGTCCTTATGTCAACTCCCAAATATGTAGAGTAGCCTTTTTCTTGTACTTTCAGGGACCAATTTGGTCCTTTTTTATTGCCAGGGACTGAAAAGGACTTCGTAGATATTGCCAGGAACTAAAAAGGGTGTTGTTTACTCTAACAAAAAAAAAGTTTCCTTTGAAATTTCTTCCTTTTCTATGATACGATGTTGGGGTCAACAATACTTTTTATTTTTGGCTAAGATGTTGATGACAAGTCGATTAATCTATCGGGGAGTGGAATCATGGTACACAAGTGACAAGACTGACATAAAACTGCATTCACATTGAATTTAAAATTTTATTTACTACTCCAATAGGAATACGATGTGGCGAGTGACTTGAGGATCAAGAATTCACTTGCACCCACCACGTGTGTACTTTTGACTACTTCATGTTCATAGTTTTTTTTTATTAATACTTCATATTCATGGATTGAAGACCAGAAAGCACACAGCGCCTATTTCCTGTGTGTGACAGTGACTGCTACTAGACCATGTCCAATGAATGATAATTTATTATTGGGTTTGATTTTTTTTTTTATTATATGCGATAAAAAAATTCAAACTTCATATATTTTTATATGTGTGTAAAAGATAATTTTAACTCTTATAATATAAAAAACATTAAACTCTTTATTATTATAATATCATTTTTTTTAATGTTATAATGACTCAATTTTAAGGACACAAGTGATAAAACTGTTGCTTTTATAAAATAATCAATTAAATCTAAAAATTTAATGGGTTAATAAAATTTTGAGTAAATATCCTTTTTGGTCTTCAGAAAATTTCACGAAGTCCGTTTTAATCCCTAGTAAATAAAAAGGCCCATCGTGGTCCCTAAAAAATTCAAAATGGACCCATTTTAGTCCTTTTGAGGACTAATATGGTCTTTTTGAATTTGTGAGGGACTACGATTTCAACTAAATAGGTCCATTTTAAATTTCTTATGGACTACGATGGACCTTTTTATTTGCTAGAGACTAAAAGGGGCATCGTGAAATTTGCTGAGACCAAAAAATGTATTTACTCTAAAAAAATTTCCACATGAGAATTTTTTTGAAATCTTTTTTTCTTGTATTCTCGCCGGAAATAAGAAAACTTATCATGTGAAAAGAGAAGTTATTAACCCAAATTTAAATTATTAGAAAAAAATATGTGAATCATTTTATTATATCACGTGAAATTTATTTCTTAATACATCAATTTTTTTTATTTTTTTTTGTAAATAATACATCCACTTTTTGGGTTCTAGGATGTACAATACATAAGTTCATTTAATGAAATTTAGATCACTTAATTATAGGTTTTGCAATTTGGCTCAAAAGCTTATAAATATGAGATAGGATGTTATTCCTATTAATTAGTGTTATTATCAATGTCACTACCAGTTTATTTCACCGTTAAATTGATTACGTTGATCCAACGATTATATTTAATTTTCTAAAAACTTTTTTTATTCTCTTTATATTTAATTCTTTATATGTATTTTTATTTTTGTATGATTATGATTTCTCATGTTTAATATAAATATGAAAATAAATATAACCGTTAAATGAACATAATCGATTTAATAGTGCAACAAAACTGGTAATAATATTGATAGTAACACTAATTGATAATAATGATATCGTATCTCTAAAAATAATACTAAAAGAACCAAACATCATTGGCACAAGTGTTAAGGAATTTGTGTTAATAGTTTTGTATTGAACCTGAAAATGAAAAAAATAGTGTTAGAAGAATCGCTACTACCACATTAATTCAAAGGATGAAGTTGAGGGAAAAAAAAAAAATACTAAAAAGAGGGCAGGGCGGCTAAGGCAGTCCTTCGTTGAAGCTTCCCTAGTAATAAAAAAAGGATCTTTTATAAATTCTATAATAAGGGTATGACCCCAAATCATCTAACATTGCCGGTTACTCTTCAGTTCGATTGTCTGAGTCTCCAAGGTAGTCTGACACAAAACTTGTACTAGGTTTGTTCCCACTTAGGGTCTATAATTTTCACTCTTTTAACTGATTCTTCTTTGTTCCTTTGTGATTATGGATCTAATGATTATTAACCAAAATTAAGCACTAGGGGTAGCCATTTAGATTTCTGAATCTTGCTTGTTACTGTTATTAATATTTGGGATATTGTTCCCACTTTGTTCATATGTTCTTGTTCCTGTTCTTGTTATGTCTTTGGTTCCGTTGAGGGGTCATAGTTTCAGAATTTGATTGACATTCCTAGTCAAAATATTCTTGGCTTCTCCGAAACAAATTTTTGGTCCAATCTGGTTTTAGCCTTCAATATGCTTTCTACAAATTCCCTTACGCAGAATTTTCCTGGTCCTGTCTCGGTATTTTCAAATCAGAACCCAGTAATGAATGGGTTTGAGTTGGATGATTCATCTTCCCCTTCATCTGGCACAAGCTCAATCAGAGAATCCACGGAACCGAATAAATATTCCAACCCCTTCCTCAGATACATAAGTGACATCCTCATGGATGAGGAAGATGATTTGGAGCGCAAACCCTGCATGTTGCAGGAATGTTTAAGACTCCAGGCTGCTGAAAAATCATTCTATGATGCTCTTGGTCAAACCTATCCTTCATCACTTCATGATGATAGCGTAAGTAGCACAGACCCAGATGGAGATTATGGTCGCACTGCAAGTTTTGAGAGCAATGGAAGCTGCACCACTGATAATTCATATGATTCTGACAGTGTCAACCTTGTGGGTGAGTTTGACTCTTCTTTCCTTCAACTACAAACCCCTCTAATTGATTCCCCTGAAAACACATATTATGTAGCTCCTGATCCATTTAGGGAGTCACAAGCTACTGGCCATTTAGGTTCGGGTTCGGGTTCGGGTTCAGGTTCAGGTTCAGCACCTAGAGAAAAGAGAATCCATGAGATGGATGATACTTGTCATGAACAAGAGAGAAGAGGCAGCAAGGTTTCAGCTGTCTTTTCTGACGATTCAGAGCCACCAGAGATATTGGATGAGGTACTGCGTTATCAGAGTGGAAGAAGTCATCGTGCTGCTACTGAACCATCACAGAATGTTGACTCAGGAGGAGGAGGAGGAGGAGGTGCATCCAATGGAAAGGCAACACGTTTGCGTTCAAAGAAAGTGTCCAACACCAACATGGAAGAAACAACCGTAGATTTATGGACCCTGCTAACTCAATGTGCACAGGCTGTGGCAAACTATGACCAAAGGAATGCAAATGACCTACTCAAGCACATTAGGCAACACTCTTCACCTTTTGGGGACGGACTCCAGCGTTTAGCTCATTATTTTGCCAATGGCCTTGAGACAAGGTTGGCTGCTGGAACACCATCATATATGCCACTAGATGTCGCAACTGCTGCAGATATGTTGAAAGCTTACAAACTATTTGTTACTGCGTCTCCTTTGCAAAGGATGACAAATTATTTGACAACCAATACAATTATTAGACTGGTGAAAAATGAGACCAGTGTTCATATTATTGACTTTGGCATTTGCTATGGTTTCCAGTGGCCATGCCTTATCAAGAAACTGTCAGAAAGACATGGTGGTCCTCCAAAGCTTCATATAACAGGAATTGATCTTCCTCAGCCAGGATTTAGGCCTGAAGAAAGGGTTGAGGAGACAGGGAAGCGTTTGGGAAACTACTGCAAAAAGTTCAAGGTTCCATTTGAATACAATTGCCTTGCACAGAAATGGGAAACTATCAAACTTGAGGATCTGAAGATAGACAGGAATGAGATAACTGTTGTGGGCTGTTTTTACCGACTGAAGAACCTGCCTGATGAAACTGTGGCAACAAGCTGTTCAAGAGATGCTGTGTTGAAGTTGATCAGGAAGATAAATCCAAACATGTTCATACATGGGATTGTAAATGGTACTTATAGTGCACCATTTTTCCTCACTCGGTTCAGGGAGGCACTTTACCACTTCTCATCGCTGTTTGATATGTTTGAGGCTAATGTGCCTCGTGAAGATACGCAAAGGGTGATGCTTGAGAAAGGCTTGTTTGGAAGGGATGCCATCAATGTCATAGCGTGTGAAGGGGCAGAGAGGGTTGAAAGGCCAGAGACCTACAAGCAGTGGCAGATTAGGAACCGGAGAGCTGGGTTCAAGCAACTGCGGTTCGATCCAGAGTTTGTGAATGATATCAAATCGGTGGTGAAGATGGAATATCATAAAGATTTTATTGTCGATGAGGATGGCAAGTGGGTTTTGCAGGGGTGGAAAGGGCGTATTCTAAATGCTTTTTCTGTTTGGGTTCCAGCTTAAGCAACATCCAAAAGATATCTTGTAATCTATACTCTTAGGCCAGTTGAAACAATGTAATAAACGACCTTTCTATTTTTCTTTCTCCATTTGAGTTTACATTTTAGATATTGATGTTCATTTCACTTCCTAGCTAGTAAAACATTATACATTCCCTTTTTATATCAAGCACAAATCTACTACTCATCACAGAAAAAGGCAAAAATACAATAAGAAAAAGGGCACCAGAATGGAAATCCAAAGTGAGATATCATAGGAATACATCAAATGAAAAAAACAGCTGCTACATCTGGGTAAAAGTAGAAGACAGACTCCCTTATAAACTATAGATTAGATAAGGATATATTCATTGAAAGTGCCATCTTTAGCACTGTCTTTTGCGTGAAAGAAGTCAAGTCAGCACTATAAGCTGTATTGCATCTGTTACTTACATATTGTAAATAGTCAGAGCTTTCCAAGCTAACATATCAATGGCTTGAACCATTTCAAAATGCCTTCAATAAAATTTGTTAAAGTTTCGAGGTGCTAAGTAGAATAAGACAATAAGTTTAGTAACGACGAGAGAGTTTAATCTGGCCAATGGCTAATCCATCCTTGGTAACTTTAATTGTAGCATGACTTCCATATATGTTCACAGGGTTTATACTTTATAAGGGTCTCAACTATCATTCGGGTAGCCAACTCATACCATACGGAAGTAATACTCCCATTGGCTATTTAACAGTTTGAAAACGGCTTCACTACAGCTCTTTATTTTAAATTTTCTTCCAACTTCATGACCAATCTTTTACGATTTTCATTAACACAAAAATCTCTGCCGCCGCAAACATTGCACATTTCTCTATCACATAATAAGATTTTTCGAAGAGAATTGTGAACTACTAGTATGTCACAGATTTATAATATACTTAAAAGAAGATGTGAAAAATATAAGGGAAGGTTGAATGCTCGGTTTTGATTTTCACTTTTGGTGTTTAGTGGAAGGTTGGCAGTTTACATATGCATATAGGAGAGGCAGATGAACCTTTCTTTAAACCCAAAAAAAAAAAAAAAAAAAAAAAAGAAGCCAGAAAAAAGAAGCCCAAATTGTAGGGTTTACGAAAACATTATATTTCACTTTTAACCACATTACATTTTTAAGTTTTAATATCATAATTTGGAAAAATGTTTATCATTTTAAATGACACAAGTTGTGTCATTTCACTCTCACAAAGAGGTGGGACTCACACCTTTATTTTTTTTTGTCCACTCTCTCTCCTCCATCATTTATCTCTTTCTCTCACTTAAAATGACACAACTTTACATCCTTTAAAATGACACACTTTTTCCTCATAATATATTAACAGCTCAAAGCAAATTGCTAAAAGGCTAGCAGTTTCATCAAATAGAATATTCACCATCATCAACATCAGCTTTATCTCAAACTGTTTCATAAAATACAATATAATGATACATAAAAAACACTCCCGAGGGCTTTTGGAGCTTTGATCTCTAAAAGTATTCAACCTAAATCAGACTAAATCCTGAATCTTAACAACAAATTGTGAAGGTCTTCATAACAAAGAAAAAAAGCCTAGTAGAACCATGAAAATAGATATAATAGCCCAAGGCCTGAAACAGAACCAAACCTAGCTTAATTTGCGTTTTCAATCAAATAATCAATGAACTCATCTATTTTGTTTGACACTAGATGGTCTAAGGACGTTCCAGTCTAGCTTCTCTCCAGTTGGTTTTTTGAAAGAGCCCAAACTATTATTTGACGATGATTGTTTATCACCTTGCTCATTCTTGGGTGATTTGTTAGGATATTGTGCTTCACAACTTACTTCAGATTGCTTCCTTTTAACATTGCCGTTATCCTCATAACTCTTTTTGTCCATGTTAGCACATGCCGAGCTATTTTATCAGAAACAATGCAAACGGAATCAATTAAAATTCAGCGAGTAATAATCTGGGGAAATTTTTCAACAGTTGTCCGTTAAGAAAATATGCAGCCATTAAGTATATTAGAAACTAAAACCAATGATAGAGAACCTTCTGACCCTTGTTGCGGGAAAAAAAAACAAAATCAAATATCAACATGGAAGTTTAGGCAAAGAATCTCACCTGGAAGAGACATTTCCATTTTGATTTCTAGAAATAGCAGTTTCAGCTGCTGGCTGACGAAGTATTGCTTCTTCCTCATTTAATTTCTACATATGCAAGGTTTTGGCATTAGAACACAATCAAAAGAAAGAACAAAAGATTTAGAGTGACTAGGGGAATAAGGAAAGCTTGCAAATTCTTGATCTTCAAACTCACATCAACAGAAGGATTAAAACTTTGAAATGACATTCGACCTTTAAGTGCTCCAGGATGGGGATCACCTTCCATTATGACCACACTACGCATACGTAGAAAGCCGAGCAAATTAAAATCAATAAATAAAATAGAATATAAATCAGCAGATGAAGAAAGCAATTGCAGATAAGAGGCAATTATATACCATTGTCGAAAGGAAATTTTTGGTACACACATTGTTTTACTTAACCTTGCTATCTTATAATGCAAGATACAGAAAGATTTGTCAAATTTTAAGGCCTATATGTGAAGTAACACTACATGCCCATATTCCACCAGTGATTACAGCACACCATCTCACAATTTAAAAGCAAGAAAAATTGTTTTATAAAGCCTTATTCATTAATTGAAGTCGGCCAGTCTGAGTTAGCAGCAATCGAGAGAAATTCAATCCATAACATGATCATAAATAAAATACAGTAAAATATTTCAAAGTGTGAACTTTGAAATGTTGGAAATCGACAATCACACAAAATCGATTAAACAGAAAAGAGAAAAGAGATTGACATAATGATTTATCCTGGTTCACCTAATATAGACTACTTCCAGCTTGTCTGTACTATATTCACCTCACCGCCACTCGTTACAAGTCACTGGTTTAAAGGAAAATATAAATAGGATTAGAAAACCCTAACAGCAGGTATTCATGGGCCCAAGCCCAAACTGCTAAGAAAATTACAATAAGAGCCATCATCAGCAAGCGAAGTATATACGAGCCATACCGAACATGAAGTTCTAGCTTATAAGTAATATTGGATACCCATACATTACAAATGATTGCTACGAGGATCTCAACTTTCAGCAATATTAATTGTTTCACCAAGAAACCTAATTTATTAATAAAAAACCACTCAGAAAATGGCAATTTGAAGAAATATTCTCTTCACAACACTGTGAATTTCAATTCTAATATGTATAACAAAACAAGCCCAAACCAGAGCCGGAATTTAGAACCCGTGTGCAGTAAAAACTAAAAACACTGAGAATTATTTGAAATTGGTAAAGAAAAATACCATTTTCGAGTGGTTGTGCCAAAATTGACATCAGGTTTGACCTCTTCTTCTTTCTTGGTTTTCTCCTCTCTTAGAGTTGCCCTTTGCATGAACTATCCAATATCGAAACAGAAATAATAGCGAGAAAAATCCTCAGAAACAAGCTCAAAGTCAAATCTCAGAAGCAATAAAATTCAACGATAACGAGAAAGAGGAGTGGTTGGGTTTCCTCCAATTACCTTCAAGTTCTTCAACGTGTTGGAAAGCTCTCGCTTTGCCATTATAACTTCCAACTTCTTTCTAATTTGTCACTTCCTCGAAACACTATCACCTGCAACCTTAACCTAGCTCCTCCGATTTGTTAAGGTGTTTTTGTTTTTGTTTTTTGCTTCTCTCAACTCAATAGTAAATCTCGCGAAATGACTAACATGTCCTTGAAAAAGAAAAAGAAAATATTGGGTCATGGATACATCGGTGAAAAAGAGCAGGCCCAATTTAAGCAGTTTTATCCAGCAAAAACCTTGGCCCACATCAACCCAATAGTAATTTCTACCAAAAAAATATAAAATACCAGTGTTACACCCACTCACAAAGTCATAAATCACAATCACAGGTCCTACAGTCCTAACCTATGATGATTGTGGGCTGGAATTCATACATGATGAAGGGATCGTATATGGGTTAATGAATTCTAGTGTTATATGAGAATAATTTTTTTTTCTATATATAATAAATTTGTGGGTCTTATCAAAAAAAAATTCTTTATTTTTTTTAATGGGATTCACATATTTGTTGTTTCTTATGTATGTAAGAGAAAATATTTTTCTCGTTTAACATAAGAAATCTTAAACCTATCATATATATGAAAAAATATTTTCTTATGTCATAGGAGAATTATTTTCTCTTTAATTTTTCGATTTTTGTGCAGCAATTTTTTTTAAAATAAATGTAGTTCACACACAAGATGTATTTATAGCATGAGAAAATTTTCTCTTACTGCATGAAAAAATTGAAACCCTAATATATGTGTGTTTCTATTATGTTGTAGAAGAAAGCACTCATGCTTCTCAGTTCTCACCCTTCGATTCACATGTCACACTTTTTGTTTTTTTTAGTATGAGTGTTTTTTTTTAGTATGAGTCCCACCACATCTTGAGTCTATAACATGGATATTTTATCTCCAACAACATAAAAAAATAGAAACCCTACACATATATATATCAGAAAAATATTTCTGCAGTTAATGTAGATAAATTATCTACATTTATGCCCAAAATGATGTCATTTTGGGATTTAAATATTAAAAAATTATAATTATAAATACTATAATAACCCTGAAATAAATTAAAATTATAAAAACACCATGATTTCTGTCCCAGAACGATGTCGTATTGGACTTACTGCAGATAACTTATCTGCAGTAACTGCAGAAAAAGCGAACCCTATAATTATATATATATATATATATATATATATAGTAAAATTATTTCTGCAGCCACTTTACGTACAACAACGACATGTGTATGGTTACGATTCTCCACATTTAATGCTTTTATCCTTTGTATGATTATGATTCTCCACATTTTTTATTTCGAGTATATATATGACAAGTATTTAATTGCTGCATGTACAGCAGCTGCAGAAATGTAAACCCCTATATATATATATATATATATATATATATATATATATATATATATATATATGTTGGAAATGCACTTCTCCTTCTACAAGAGAAGTGATTCATTTCCCGTAGAATATAAATGATGGTAGGGGCCACTTAGAAAAAAATAAAAATAAATAGAAATAAATTATTTATTTTTTGTCGGTACGTGGTGGAAGATTTATTTTCTCGAGAAATACATCTCTTCTATGTAGCACCAATATCGACAAGAGACATGATTATTAGATAAGACATGTTTTGATATTAAGTAATATTTTTAATTTATGTAATGTATATTATATTTAATATTTAATAATTTAATAAAAAAATGAAGCTAAATTTATAATAGCCATCAATTTTGCAAAGAAACATAAGATATCCCAAATATTTATATTAAACTCAATAAAATGGTAATCCTATTCTAAGAAATCTAATAGTTGGAACTAAAAACGCAACACAACGCATCATGTGAACCTTTTTTTGAGTCTCTACAATGCGTGTTGGAGTGTCAAAATATCTTTACGACACGTAAAGATTTTTGAAGTGTCAATACTTCATAGCGTCAAGCTACTCTTACATCCATTTCATTAGGAATTGATGACCTTTTAACAGTACCCTTTCTTACGATTACGAGGTTCATTCGAATATGAAATTCAATCTTGGAAATATAGCATCCCGCTTTTTTTTGCATCTCCCTATACATGTACACCATAATGGGTATGTTTTTTCCTCTCCTTTGTTCCTATTTCTTTCTGAACTTCTTTAATTACTTACTGAATTTTCCTTCTTTTATTTACAATTTCTGAAGTTCTTATTATGAGATGACGGAAAGTATGCAGACCAGGAGGAAGACATTGTAAGTGTGAAAAACATCAACTTGCAAAAGAGACATATGGGGAAGCTACAGCCTCACACCAAGGGTTTTTTTGGAAATCGCCATGTTAGTATTCTCTTACCACATCATTTGCAGCTTCGAGACTTCACTTAGTAGCTACTCAATCCGCAGAATATCTCAATCCATGATTGCAACTACATGATCATATGCTGTTTTCTAGAAGGTTGATTGAAGTCTTGGTTGATTTATTTTGCCTTGTTTCAGCGTCATCTTCGCAATATTTAATTGTAACGTGCCACTCGCAGTTGGTTAATTTTTTTTTTTTTGATCATATGGCTTTTTAATATCATTCCTTTAAAATCCTTTGTGAAAAGAGAATTATGGATCTAATGATCATATGGCTTTCTAATATCATTCCTGTTATTTAATTGTCACGTGCCACGGATAAATTTTTTTTATCAAACAAATATAATAACCGGGAGAAATAGTAAGAAAGTCAGTTTGATGAAAAAGTTTAAAAAAAGATGTTTGGTTGACCGAAATATTACTAGAGAAATTTATTTAAATTTGTAAAATCTATGTTCGGGAGAAACTCCGCACCTGTTTTTTTCATTTCCCCAGTTATCTCAAAATATCACATTTCAAGTAACAGTGAATTTCATCCAAAAATCAACACAAAAGTCATTTCTCCATTCATCCTATTTGCCTAGTATTGTTTTTAAAAACCTGAACCAAACGTGATATTTTTTAATATCCACTTACATTTTCTCATTTATCCCAAAATAAAACTTCTTAGCAAACACTACCTTAATCTTTTGTACGTACTACGATGCCCCATATGATTTGGACAAGCCTTACAAGTTACAGCTCATGGTGCCCTTGATAGAATTACAACTGTCAATTATTGGACGGAAGAATCGAGTTTTTCAATCCACGTTATCAAAATGTACTGCCTTTGACTCTTGCTTGAGTTAATGCTTGGACGGGCTTTAAAAAATATTTTTTTATAAAAATTAAAATTATTTAAATTTTAAAAAAGATATTTATTTCTTGAAAAAAAAATATTTAATTTTTGATTTTTGTATTTTTTTGAAGTTAAATTTTTAGCTTTTAAAAAATGTAGGTTTTAAACTTTTTATGATTTTTGCTTTGTTTAAGAGTAGGTATCAAAACAGATTTTTTTTTATAAGTGTTTTTATTTCTTAAACAAAGTAAGTTTTCGAGAAGAAATTTTTTTTATCTAAACAAACCCTTAAATCTTTATACGTTTTCATAAGGAGACAAAAAATAGGGAATAAAAACTCATTTATATGAAATTTGTTTTTTTTTAAGAAAAAATACACTTCTCACTTTAAATTTATTTGAATGTTCACTTTTAAAAAAAGCATAAGTTAAAAGTCAATTTTTTTAAAAAAAAATTAAATATTTTTATAAAAATATAAATAATTTTAACTTTTGTAAAAAACAATTCTAAAATAAGAAAAAGATAAAAGTTACTTTTTTAGAAGCCCAAACAAATCAGCTCTAAGTATTTATCATTTTAAATGATATAACTTTATATTATTTTTAATAAAACTACATCGTTGTGATATGTTTTGAATTTTTTTTTTACATTTTTTCTTTTTTATAAAATTGGAGAAAAAAGAAAATGAAGAAAAAAGAATGTAAAATATATCATTTAAAATCACAATGACAGGAATATTTCAAATTCTAATAACAGTTACATTAGTCAAAGTCCGACGCCAAGAGGCCAAGACAAAACCAGACACGAAAAGTTCAGAATGTTGACGTATACAAGTCAAGCTATTACTGATGTTTCAATTGCAGCCTTTCTAGAATACTTGACACTTTCCCGCTTCTCATCGTCTTCCCACAGTTCTGGAAATGCCTCTTTCATATTATGGATGTTCTCTAAGGCATGATCCACTCCTGTAGTTCGAAGGGACGTACCCACCTGCATCCATGTTACATTATGATTTCACATTTAATTAAAATCAAATCTTAAGGTAAGTGAATTTCAAATGATACCTTCTTTAAGCTAACTAACACAAGTCTTAATTTTAAGAATAAGAACATGTTCATGCATATATTTGTCCAGGTTTAACAAATGTATACTTGAAGTTACATTTAGGGGTGCTAAACGACTCAATGACCTTTGACTCGACTCGTAAAGGCATGAACTTACATGTCTAAAATTAATTGTTGGACCCAGACTTGGACTTGTATAAAAGCTCGTTTAATAAAAAAGTTTAGGTTCCAATTCAAAAGCTCGGCCTTAGAGCCTCTCAGACTTGCCTAATATATCATTTATTTTTTTATTTTTTTATTTTTTTTACTACTTGTGATAGTCTTCTCTCTCTTTTCAATTCATTTCATCCTATTTTATTAATTAAACAAACTTTTTAAATAATTTTATTTTATATTATGTTATTTGGATATACATTAAATTTATAAATATTTATGGAATTACTAGTTCTGTTGATTGTATATTTTGTTTGGATAAATTTTTGTTGTCTTATTGTTTTTAAACAGACTAACAGGCTAAACAAGGCTTTTATTTTTTTGTAAATGAGCCAGGTCACAGGCTGATATTATATTCGTAACAGGTAACAGGCTAAGGCCAGTCTGACACATTTGAACACAGGCTCGGCCCGTTAAGACCAAAGGTCAGCTCTGTTAACACCCCTAGTTCCATTCAACTTAACCAAGTGAAAGACTCAAACGTAAAAAAATTCAATACTAATTTAATATTATATACATATAAAATTAAAAAAAAAAAGTTTTCCTTTTATGCTCATTCATGATGAGCATCATTATAAAAAAAAAAAAAAAACTAAGTTGAGTTCTTATGACTAGTATTTTGTTCATTCATCAACTAGGAGTCTAGGACCAGTTACCAAGACTGTGTGGAGGCCCAATGATTTCCCCGTCCTTAAATTGCGGACACTGTCATCAAAGAACAACTGGAAAAAGCAAAAATAAATAAATAAATAATTTGATTTCTCACAAAAATGCACATAATCAGAAAAAGTGATAATTGGTATTCATTATTACAAAAGACACAATATCATCATGACAAAGGTTAAATTAAAATTTGCAATAAATGAGAAAATATGGCCAAACTATTATTTATGGAAGGATTAACGATCTTACTGTTCTTTGAGGGTCAATATCTGCCATATTGAAAACCTTTTCAAACGCATCTTGAAAGGGTTTGCAAACAACCGGGGTCCTTGGAAGCAGGATATCAGAATCAGGCCTGTTTATGTACTCACAAAAATCAAAAATTACTGTGGAACTTGTTCTACATTCATTGCCATCCATATTGTAGGGAGTGTCGAAGTTATTAGAGGAATTCAGAGTCTCAAAACTTATAATTCTTTCAAAGCAATCCTCCAGTCCAAGCCTGTGTAGCACTCTTTTTGAATGGGCCTCGTCTGAGTTTGTATAAACCTGAAAAGAAAGTATACATATATCATGCTGAATAGAGAATTTATATCTACTTAGGCCATTAAATAAGAACAAAGAAACTCACAATTTTTCGCACTGGCAGGCTTAGCAAAATTCCCCTGAGAACAGGGTCAGGTTTTAGTATATTATATGGCAATCTCCCATGAACAAAACTGCTCAACAGAAAACAGTTTTAGATGCTTATTTTACATGGTTTCTGAATTGATTAAAAGAAATGACCAATTAAAAAAATAAAAAATGGACATATCACAAATATGTAAAGACAATTTACCCATGAAAGTCATCATAGTCAAAGTCATAGCCAATTGCCTGGGGAGAGAAAAAGAGACAAAATGACTGATTCGTTCACCATCGCATCTAAATAATAATAAATAAATAAATAATGTCTTTAATGTATACTTAGAGAGGTTAAGATATACCTTGAGACCAGCCATTGTTGTTCCGTAAGTCTCATATAATGAAAGACACAATTCAGGAACTTTAGCCTCCTGTATTCCAAGCTTTTGAATCATGTACTCTGTGCAATGCATCCATTTAATAAAATAAAATAAAAATGAATTGAGTAAAATCCAGACACATCCAAGTAATCACATATTATTATTGCTCCAATTTGGTGAAGTCATTCATTACCTTGAATGTTTTTTATCACGTGCTTTGACAATCCAGAGCTCAAAGGATAAAGGGTATCATCAAGATCTAAAAATATCGAAATCCAGTTAACGAAACATAGAAGAGTGAGAAAGTCATCATGAATCTAGAAGGCTTACCGAATAACAGACAATCGTATTTCGCCTTTGAAATTTCCTGGAACTGATCCCCGTTTTCCATTTTAGACTCTAGTAGGCTTAATTACACGCAGAAGGAAAAAGAAGTGAGAAGACAAAAATAACCCCCAAGGCCAAGATAGACACATTGAACCACATATTTTGTGACGACTAGAGCAAGGTAACATGAAAATTTTACATGTTAGTCAAATGATTGAGAACATGAAAATGTACATATGGAGAGTGCAGACTAGCTAGAAGGGGGAATGAGCATGAAAAGCAGTCTTAAAAAAAAGCTAAATTTGAGTTCAAATTCAAGAGACCATATATTAATATCCAAATCGAAATTAAGATGGTAGAGCAAGGTAACATCGTCAACACATAAACAACTAGGGAGGAGGACAAAGCTAAGAAATTGCAAACAAAAAGGTTTTATCTTATTTTATTTTTTTCAAGCCCAGATTGTTTGTCACGTCACACACCATTACATAGGCGATAGACCCAATCACTAACCAAAACAGCAATGGTGACAAAGGAAAGAAATGAAGGAACCCAATCCATTCCATTCCATAACATTCCAGTATGTTAACGTTAAACTGAAAAGTGAAGCAAATCCAGAAACAATAATGGACAAGCAAGAAAAGAGAAAAACTTACTGAAAGCAAAAGCAAGAAAGAAAATTGCAGATCGTAGAAATGGAGAGAGGTAGTAAGATCAGAGAAGATTCGGGAGAATGGCGTCGAGTGAAAGCAATTGTGATTGTGATTGTGCTGAGTGTTGACGGTGTTGATGTTGAACTAGAAAAGAAAAAAGAGAATCAGAAGCTGATGCCATGTCTTTTTTACTTGTACCATGTTGTCCACTCCTATCTTGACACGTTCCTGCTCCATTAATTTTTTTCCACTTGTCGTCATTACCTTCACTTTCTTTTTACGTGGCTACCTCCATTTACAGTAACCCACGTGAAGCTGCTAACTGTGCAAAACTGCAACAACCATATAATAATAGTATATGGTATATCAATCTCAAAAAAAAGTATATGCTATATATATCTAATTTTTTTTTTTCATTTTTAATGATATAATTTATGTTATTTTATTTTTATAAAAAAATAGGATTTTTATTTTTATTTTGTTTGTCTATTTATTTTTTTTAATTTATTTTTTTCTCTCACTTAAAATAATATAATTTTATATTTTTTAAAATGATACACATTTTTAAAAAAAAGCAACACGGGGTATTGTTTCTGAATTTTTCTTTTTTATTATAATAATCCGATGCTGTATTTAAAACTGCAGCAAAGTTGTCGGAGGCATTTGCAAAGTTAATGCCAAATTTAGAATTGTCGGTGCGTTTCTTTTATGAAGAAAAACAATCTCCTGTTTGTAGTTTGATTCATTTTCCTTACGTAATCCGGTATATTTATTTTAGGAAAAATATTTATCGTTTTAAATAACATAATTTATATTATTTTATTTTTATAAAGAGATAAGAATTATATTTTTATTTTTTTATTCACTCTCTCTCTCTGACATGATCTATCTCTTTCTCTCACTCTTGACCTTTTAACCTGATCACCAAAAGACACCGTTTCAAAATACCAGCCTGAACCAATATCTTGCATGATATTTTCACAAAGTGATTTTTCTCCTTTGGAGAGATATACTGACCCAACCTCAAAAATCACTATTAAGCCTGTGATTACTCAAGGGGAAGTCCAGCCAGATGGAAAAATGAAAGCTATAAGCCAAAGCTGAAGAAGTTCTTAATTGGCAAACTGAAAATGCTCATGCCCAGAATTCTATTCTGAAGAGACTAGATGCTAAGGTTGAAAAGATTTACAATCAAATGGATACTGTTGAAGACCGTTTGCAACATCTTTCAAAAAAGATGAGAAAACATTATGAGAAGAACATGCAGCAAATTACTCAGCTTGAAGAAGAAGTCAAAAAGCTAGGCTTTACTCCAGAAGCCAACATGAGAGATAGGGAGATAAGGAGGCTAAAAGCAGAAATTCAAGATCTGGAAAGGATCATTGAACAAAACATTAGATCTCAGCAAAAATCATGGTTTCTTCCTAAACACATTCCCTCAAAAATATCCTCAAAAATAGAAAACCTTATATAGTACTCATATGTCCCTGAAGATGCAAAGATCCTTGAAACTATACCACCGCTGCTCAGTCCTTACAATATTTTCAAAAGACAGATCTGTGTTTAAAAGCATCACTAAATTGATCTCCACCAAGAGACCAACAATGAAAGAATATGTTGAGTCTTCAGATTTGAGAAGTTCCTCTCCTACTCACCTCATATAATATCATTACTATTTTTACCCTCTCTATAGAAGAACTTGAAGAGTTTCCTTAAAACTGCCTTCATCAGGCAAGGAGCCTGTCATCGGAGATGACATAGTGTAAAAAATATCCTCAAAAATAGAAAACCTTATAGAGTACTCATATATCCCTAAAGATGCAAAGATCCTTAAAACAGTATCACCGTTACTCAGTCCTTACAATATTTTCAAAAGACAGAGATCTGTGTTTAAAAGCATCATTAAATTGATCTCCATCAAGAGACCAACAATGAAAGAATATGTTCAGTCTTTCAGGATGGATCAGTGGGAACTATATTGACTATCACTTTGTATTCTTTTTATTTATTTATATAATTATATATATTTAATATTATTATAATAAATGGAAATAAAATATTTAATATTGATTTATAATAAATAAAATATTTGAAAAATTATTATACATATATATATAAATATAAGTTTAGATAATCTTAAAGATCCAAAGCTAAAGCAAGACTTACTATTGAATCTAAAATTATTATTATGATTTTATTGATCTTTATGTATAAATTTTTTTTTAATATATATCATATTTGCGAATTTTCTTTAAGCCTTAGAATTTTTTATTTTTTTTTTAAAATCAACATAATAAAAAAAAATCATATAAATATGTTGTAGATAACCACGACCGCTTGAATAAAAATATTAAACTAAAAGTATATACAAAATGAGCACCCAAGAAATAATGAAAAATCAAAAGACTAAATTACTTGGGATGCTTGAGCCGGCTTTTTGACCATTTTATCTTTCATTAATTAATTAATAACCATTTTGCCTCTTATTCAAAACTATCCATCAATTCGCCCCTCTTTAATCGATTAACTTGAATATTTAATCGATTAAATGTTCAAAATAGGCAAAAATGGTTGACTCGAGATTTAATCGATTAAATCTCCTTATTTAATCGATTAACTTGAATATTTAATCGATTAAAACTTATATTTAATCGATTAAATATCTCAAATGAGCGTGAAAACATTGATTGAATGAGACAAACAAGGAAAACTCGTTGGTTCACTGCATAGCGAGAACCAATCTTGATTCATTAACGCATTTTAGTTGTTCCAGAATCCAAATTTTCACATAATGCTCGCCAAGTGACCTTTGGCTCCCAACTAAGACATGTCTCTAGTTTAAGAACATCCTGAACTATGATTGGTTCACCTTTAATACAATGCTGTTGGAAGAGAAATAGCTCTTCTTCTGACAAGTCACTTGGCACTGGACAATATATGTTATTATCATTCGTGTCATCTCTAAAAGCAACTCTTATCATAGATTTGCTGCTTAATATTGCTTCTTTATGAAGAGTTTTGTGCTCAATTTTGCAAAAATTCTGCAACATGTAACGAGTTTTGGCTTCCAACTTAGAAATCCATCCATTTGGAAGTATGGACTTCAGCTTCAACACATAGTCACCACAACCCGTCATTTCTTTTAGAGCACATCTAATACTTTCATCACTGTCAGCATTGCAATCAGTATATTTCTCAACAGTACCCTCTAAAGTCCCTAAATCACAATATAATGGTTGAGGATAACCACCATGTATGTACTCACTGCCCTTATTAACATATTCAAACTTCAGTTTAGGCCGGGGTGAAATACTTTCTTTTTCGTATTTCTTCACAGCAAGTAAGACAGATTTCAAATGAACACTTAGGGCAGCCAAAACTTAATTATTATAGTAAACTAAACCTTAATCATCCCTTTTGAATGTTGCGAGTTTTCCTTGTTTGTCTCATTCAATCAATGCTTTCGCGTTCATTTGGGATATTTAATCGATTAAATATAAGCTTTAATCGATTAAATATTCAAGTTAATCGATTAAAGAGGGAGATTTAATCGAATAAATCTCGAGTCAACCATTTTTGCATATTTTGACCATTTAATCGATTAAGTATTCAAGTTAATCGATTAAAGATGGGCGGGTTGGTGGATAGTTGTGGGTAAAGGGGAAATGATTATTAATTAATTAATGAGGAATAAAAAGGTCAAAAAGCTTGTTTGAGCCCATAGAAAATCACGGAACCGCATATTAACGGTAATAGAACTCTCCACAAAGTTTTTCATATAATATAGGGTTTTATTACTTTTCTTTTACAGGTAAAAATATTGTCTCATGCAATGAACTAACGACGTCATTTCACTTCAATTTAATTCCTCTTCCTTTCTTTTTGTTTTTTTGTTAGTTCAACTCCAACGACGTATGGTAGTAAAAAAAAGGCAAAGGGAGTTTGGTGGAGGGAAATGGATGTCACTCTGTGCACTGAGACCCAAATGCTCAAATCCATCATCGCTTGTTTCTTCCTCCAAATATCGCCCTCGCTCTGCTATTATTCTCTTAGTGGGTAAATCTCTTACAATGCTCGCTCGCCTTTTTGCCAAGTTATTGATTACTATATTGCCTCTATTCATTTTCTTTTTTTATTCTCATGTCAGGGCTTAGGGACAATTCCGGTGACTACCACAAGTTGAAGAAAGCGTTGAATAATTTGTGTGTTGTGTGGTCACCGATGGCAGCACCTCTTGCAAGGGCACGTGTCGATTATGACTACCTCATCAAGCTTCTTCTTATTGGCAACAGTGGTTAGTTATGCCTTCTCTTGAGTATGGAAAATGAAGTAAAATTAAATGGGCTTGTTTTTAGTTTTCAGATCTTAATGCTTTTTTGGTTTGGGTTTGGTTTTACAAAGCAAAAGGGTTGGTTATTGATTCTCTTAGAAACGCTCTATTTGTGGTTTTGAATTATGGGTTCATTTTAATTTATGGTTTCTACTTCGATTAAATGCTATTATCTGGTTAATATTCTGGAATAAGGGAGTCCCACTTCATTTTTTATTTTTTTGGGGGGAGAGGTGTTTGATTGTTCACTATAGTGTGTCCTCTGTTACAACAATTTTTTCTTTCAAATTTTGTTTAGGGAGGAAAGGTATAACTTAGCATATTAGTTGTTCAATGAGATAATCAGGTTTAAGTGAATGTATGAGGAGTACTTAGATTACCTATTCATACTAATATAGCCATATAGGAAACATACAAAATTGTGCAAACTATCGAGGGATGAAGGTCACGAGTCATGAGTCACTCTATGAAATTGTGGTAAAGAATGATTAAAACAAGACTTGCATATTAGAGTCACTCTATGCATGATGTGGCAATAACTAACATGTGAAATCTAGGATGTGTCACCAATGATTTTCCTAAAATAGTAGGTTTGCGATTTGCACCAATAGTGGACTTTGAGCCTTTACCTTT